TCTCTCTCGCGGTAAGAACATTAGGAACAAATTAACAGAGATGAATCAAAAAGTGCCGAACATTCTTCTTCTTCTTTCCATCTTCCCATTGCTCTCTCACAAAAGGAGAGATTAAAATATAAATTTTTTTACACCACAAAAATTATACACAATTTTTAAATGAGACCTGCCTTAATTGTTCACAAAACCCGGCAGTGTATATATTGATGATTAGATACGAACGCTTACAGGCCTCCCAGATTGCTTTCGATTCAATATTATAATACAGTATCATAAAAATCACCTCAATCACTCACTAGATGCTGTGTACAATAAAAAATATATTAATATTATATATGTGAGAATGAAGAAACTGAAAGAAGGAAACCTGCCAAACAAGCAGCATCAGGTAACAACACAATTGATCCGCAGTGATAGAGATATTACAAATAACACAGCTCTGGAATTTTTAATACGTGCGTTGAAAATTTAAGAATAAAATAACTTATGTTCATGTTGCTTGTTACCTTTCGATCTTTCCTTTTTTTCTCTATTCAATAAAAAAATAAATGTGTGTGATTTTTACTTTTATGAGAGCAAATTGGGGACTTATGGGACTTTTTGTCACTTGATTTCTTATATTGAGATTTTAATTGAGTGATTGGATTGAGTTTTACTGCAATTTTTGCAAAAATTGAGGATTAAAGATAGAGAAATCAAGTTAGGAACTTAGTTTTCAAAACTAGCTTTGAAAAGCTACCAAACTAGCTTCGAATAGCTACTAAACTAGCTACGAATAGCTACCAAACTAGCTTTGAATAGCTATTAAACTAGCTTTGAAAAGCTACCAAATTAGGAACTTAGTTTCTAAAACTAGCTTCGAATAGCTACCAAATTAGCTACGAATAGCTACCAAACTAGCTTCGAATAGCTATTAAACTAGCTTTGAATATATACCAAACTAGCTTCGTATAGCTACCAAACTAGAGTCGAATAGCTACCAAACTAGCTTTGAATAGGTACCAAATTAGCTTCGAATAGCTACCAAACTAGCTTTGAATAGCTATTGAACTAGCTTTGAAAAGCTACCAAATTAGGAACTTAGTTTCTAAAACTAGCTTTGAAAAGCTACCAAATTAGCTTTTCGAATAGCTATTAAACTACCAAACTAGCTTTGAAAAGATACCAAACTAGCTTCGTATAAGTACCAAACTAGAGTCGAATAGCTACGAAACTAGCTTTGAATAGGTACCAAATTAGCTTCGAATAGCTACCAATTGATAGCAATGCTGAAACATGACCATTTAACATGACCAGCAGCGAAACCAGAGGTGGACATTTTAACCATTTTCCTAGTCAACGGTATAAATTCTTCATTATGCTAACACCCCCCCCCCCCCCCCCCCCCTCCAACCCAGTATACAACGCTTTGGTATCCTTCATCAAAAATTGTGTCACATTGACCGAAAACATTTGCTGAAGAATCAAACCAGCAGTCCAAATTTCAATCTCAAATAACGTGTCAAAACATCAAAATTAATCCAATCTCAGCTTTTCGTTCAATATCTCGATATACACACCATCGGAAAAAATATAGAAGGTGAAAAAGCAAGACACCGAAGAAGAAAGCAAAAAAATACAGAAGTTTCTTCTTCTTTAAAGAAGTTACATGTAAGAGATATAAATACATTCTTAATTTCTTGTTATGGATGAGTCGGTTTCTTTTGAATGGTCTTCCAATTAGCTTGATATACCGACACCTTAAGGCCATGAGCGGCATTCTTTGTTGTCTCGAGATTCCTTTTACACTCACATCTTCCAATAATACACTCTCATATGATGATGAAGATTTTTTCTGTGTTTCTTTTTTTTTCATAATAAAAACGAGTGATTTTTAGTTGATTTCTTTTTTTTTGTGGAATTTCTTCTTCTTGTTCTTATTATTCCATCTTGAAGAATTGAAAGAATTTTTATGTGATGCATTTTGGAATTTCAGTGAGATGTGCGAATGCATTTTAAGAAAAAATTCCATCAAATGGTGTTAAAAAGTCATACAAAAGAACACCCACTTAGCAATCAAGCAGGCCTCTGTGTGACATTCCAACAATTACTTATTATTTGTTAAGTTGTTTATTATTGAATAGTCATCTGTTGTTCCTATGGGACTCTTGAAATGTACATTCTTTATATTTTTTTTTCAAGCATCATCATTTATGAATAAAAGTATAAAGTAATAATAATAATTGAATAAACAGTCAGAATGAAAATATTTTTTAAGTACGGGTACAATGAGAATGGAAAGAAGAAGGAGTAGCAAAACATTTAGACATTCAATACGCTCTTTTTATATAAAAGAAGACAATAAGTTGAGAAATCTTCTTTACTTGATTGCTATCGGTACTTAAGATGGAAAGTCTTCTTTACTAATGTTACTGCTGAATTATTATTTCCAGTAGCTGAAGTGGCAGTTTTGCTAATCTTTATAATTAAGATTTTTTGCAGGTTGTGGATGCAATTTTGTGGATTTGATGGTATCGCTTCATAGAGAAAAGATTTTGCAATTATGGACCTTCCAGGGAATGGCATATGTGGCCTAAGAAGGAGAACAATGGTCTTACGTGCCAAAAGTCCTGGGTTCAATCCCATTACGGCATTTCGCTCACACGAATTGTGACTAAGTACATTGCAGAGTCCATCAGGTCTTTGGACGTACTCGTGTATTTGCAATTTAAAGAGTTTTGTAAAGGATTCGGATTCAACTATAAAATGGAGGTCTAAAGGATGTCGTGCAATAGTTTCACAATCGCTGTTCCTTCAGCTCCAAAAAAAATGAGGATTTATCAAGTAAATTGACTCTGGATGGTGCAGTCCCTTTTCGATTTTTAGGGATCCTCTTATCCTCCAACCCCCCCCCCCCCCCCCCTCCAAGAAAAATTGCTCCACATTATTCGAATGATACCTTAGCTAACGTCTTTTGAACAGCAAATGAACAGAAACTTTTAAAACTGCTTAAATTCAATAGCATCAGTTGACAATTCCATTCAATTTACTGAGCCTAATTATCATAAATTTTCATTAAAACTGTATTTCTTACCTCATAAAAAAAACTTAATTTGAACAAGCTAAAAAAAAAATAATATTTTTGCAACAGTAATTTTCTGCTGAACTCAAAAACTCAAAAATCTGTTTCCAATTATTTCATTATGTAATCCAAGCTACAAATTACCCAACACAAAAAAACTGAACAAGTAATCAAATCTTCTTAATTCGAATTTCATATTATGGCAAAAAAAAATACACAACTTGTTGTTTTTTTTGCTTCAATTCATGTCTACGTCCAATTTGTATGAACATATTTTATAAATAATTTAATTCAATTTATTTACACTAAAATGTTTAATTTCCAATTACGGACAATAATAAAATAAAATGGGCAGAGAAGAAAAAACATGAGAAATGCAAACAGCAAAATGAAAGTTAATGAAAAAATTATGAGCTGCAAAATAATTCAAACAATGTGAGGTAGCAGTAAGTACTGTCATGAGATATTATGATAGTCTCATAGGTCTCGTAAAGATTTGAGTCGCGCATACTTTATATAAAGGCGGAATAAAGGTAGTAGGGAAGGTTTTGAGTGGCTAAAGCGCATATAATTTTGAAAATTTTAATTTTTGGGGTGTGTTGTTGATTTTAAGGTTATTAAACTAGTCAAAATGATGAAAAAAATATCAAATCTCAAATAATACGTTCCTTACAATTCTTAAAAGTTTTTGAATCAGTTCAAAAAGCTTGTGGTTTCTAAGCACATCGAAATCTAGGACATTGAGCTATATATAAGTGTTTCTGTCAGTGGGAAGGTAAGGCTCATGTGGACGAGTGGTTAATCAACAGTTCCAACTTCTTAAACCTTCTCCTGTGAGGATATGGGTTCAATTCCTTCCAGAAACTTATCTCTAAATCATTAAATCAATTATTGTTGATATGACAAGGATTCGAACCATGTTAACAATGTTTTAACATATTTTCACCTCTTAATGCTACCCAGAATAAGTCTATGTACTGACTAAGTTGCTAATTTGACTCAAAAATCACTGAAAAAAATCCACCAAAATTTCTAGAAATCTCAACACTAGCTCATATAATCCCATACAGTTCATCTAACATTCCCGTCGCCCCATTCACTTCACTTTCCATCAAATCTTGCTCTCACTGCAGCTTGCTACATACAGCATGATTATTATTATTATTATACGTGCAATAATAACAATAATAATAACGAAATTGTCGAGTTATTGAATATTTAATTAAAGTATTATGAGCTTGGTAGGTAGAAGATAGTTGGGTAGGTTGAATGCCCATTAATGAATAATTTACTGCTCTCGCGCATAAATTAAGGAACGAAATATATGTTAAATAGCGAAACATTATGCAAAGCAAAAAAAAATTATTTATTGAAAATTATGAGCCCGTTCTCGCTCATTCTGTTAATTTCTGCTTTGATTTATCGATCTTTTGGTCTCATTGATTTTATTTTTCAGTTTTCATCTCGTAAACAAGCTTGTAAGAGCCTCACAATTATTGACTATATATATTTTATATATTAATTCAAGAGCGGACGGGAGAGAGACGAAAAAAATGTATCAGGCTTGTGTTTTTCAATTTAATTGGAATCGATGAGCGAAGTAGAGATGTCTGTCAGTGTGACTGCAAAAATTGATAATTAATGCCATAAAATGTGGCAAAATATTATAGCTTTTAATGAGGTGAGCCTTGCAACGACGCGAAAAAAAAAATAAAACTTTTTTTTATGATTTTATTATTTTTATGCTAAACAGACGCAGCACAGCACTAAGCACTCTGATTCATTTCCACTTATTTGTATTTCATTTTTTTTTTGCTGCACTTTTATTCACAATACTTTTATACTCAGAATTTATGACATTATGACATGCATAAATAGGAGCGGTACCGATTATGGTTGCAATTTATTTTAATTCTATGGAATTGCTAATCACACTCACCTCCAGTTGCCTCATCGAAATTTTTATTTGATAGCTGAAACAGCGCATCGAGTGGTGCACTTCCATTTGGCGATTTATTTCCATTTCTATTGACATTATTGTTATTATTATTGGAACTAGGATGTTGTTGACTTGGATGTGAACGTCCTGAATTGTCTGATGATCGTCCAATGTCTGGTGAACAGCAATCTCCACTTGCTACAGAACTTGATCGATCACTTCCACTTTCTGATGGAATTATATCAATATTCATGTGCCTTAACAGCTGTGCTTGTGCATGAAAATGTTCTTGAAGTTGCTGATGATATTCCATAGCTAGTCGTTGCTCATAATGAAGTAAGGCAGGCGGAAGAAGTGGACGAATTGAAATTGGATGTTGTAAATGATCCCATGGCCTCACAATTCTTGCCACTTGCTGATGATGATGCAAATGATTGAGACCATTGACAATTGTAGCTGCTGTAACAGCTGCTTGTGCCTGTGCTGTTGTGGAATTATTTTTATTGGTACTATCACGTCCTAAAATATCAGCTATGCTAAAACTCTTTACACCTTCAACACTCGTCGTCGTTGTTTGTGTCACTTGCGGTGTCACTGTTGATGATGGTGACTTTAAAGAGGAAGTTCGACTAGCATCACTACTGCAATGATTATTATTATCTACATCATTTGTATGATCATTGACCATTTTGAGACGTTTTAATGGCTGAAAATATTCATCCGATCCAATTTTATGATTATTTCGTCTTTCACATTCAGAGGGCGGTGGTGATGGTGAACCTACTGATATTTCAGAACCAACCGGACTCGGATCACGACTTGAAAATGTTCTTGTCTGCATGACTTTTTTCTTTTTTAATAATTTTTTTTATTATTTCACTAAACAAATAAATTTTTTTTACTATTGACAATAAATTTCGTGCTTAATAATTTGAACTTTTTTTATTATTTTTTCACATTTTTTTTCACTTTTTTCTCTTTGTTTAAATTTTTCCTTATCAGCAATCAGCTTTTGTTCAATTTAATATTATTTAATTATTCACAATTATTAATTCATTTGAATTTATTTTAAAATAAGCGACAAAAATCATGTCTCGAAAGTCAACACAAAGTCATCGAACCGAATGTTATCACACAGTCAAGAAGACTAAATCTCGTTTCAACGAGGAAAGAATGTGTAAAGTGGAAACAAGAGAAATAAAGCAGAAAACAAGGTTCCGCCTATTCATTATACTGCACAGACACTACAAACTCAACAGCCAATCAGCGTGCGTACACAAAAAGCTCGCTGACATGAAAACATAATGTCGGAATATTTATTGAGCAGTTCCTTAGTATTGGTAGCTTTGTATTTGTTTTGTGGATGTAATGATGACTGCTTGGGCATTATAAGCAGAAACTACTTAAGGTTTTTTTATAACATTATTTTTCATTTTATAATTAATTAATTTTTCTCTTTCTCTCCATCTCGCATACTCACTAGCCTCACCTCACTCCTTTTCCGTCATTTACTTTTATTGCTTTTACAAATTACCTGCCATGATATTCGTTTGTTTAGTAATGTAATTATTTCTCATTTCTCATCTACATAGATACATTATTAGACTATTATTACCATTATTCATATTCATGTCTATTGCTGTGGATGTACTCTCTGTTCGTACATCAACATTAATAATTTCTTCTTGTTCTTAACTTTTGCTAAATGGAGTTTTGTTGCTCATTTTTAGGAAATTATTTTTTATTGTTTGGAGGAATTGATGGATGATGCTCAGATGTTAGGTTGTAAAATTAACGAACTTTTCGCAGTTGCCTTTTTGGGGAGAATTAAATCATCTTTTGTAGAATAAGATAACGAGAATTATGTAAATCAGATCTGAGAAATTAATTTTCTCGTGATTTCAGCTTGTATGGCTTTATGGGTTCTTTTCATTAGAAAATGATTAATTTTGTTGAATTTTTATAATTTTGTTTATTAAACAAGATTTGGATTATTTATTAATTTTATAGAAACTTATGGAGGGAGACTAGCTTTCACTTATTAATGTGTAAAAGTGCTTCGATAGCTCAGTTGGCAAGGTACAGGTCACTGAAAATTGGTGTTGAATTGAGACTCCCTGGTTCAAATCCCACCACCAACCTAATGATTTTTCAGAAGTTTAGATTTAAGGTATAATAAAAATTGGACTCTCCTTGATTCTTATAAAGATTTTTCCTAGGCTTAGGCAAGCTTATGATAGGCAAGCCGAGGATGAAGCACCTTTCCAAAGGTACCTATCTGACAACTCGGATACTAACAGCAGCCTTAGCCATACCTTCACAATCCTCAAAATTAAAACGAATTTCAATATTTTCCTCAAACACTTGATCATGAAAAGTAAACTTATTTACTCAATTTAATCCTTTCACATCAACAAAAACAAACATTTAAACAATTCTCATCATTAAAACATCAAAAAAAAGTTTGATTAATTTATTCCACACCATTAACAAAAGCCCGCATGAAACAGATCTACGATGACATATAACATATTACAATAAATAAATTGTGAGTGCAGTGCAACACACATGTGACATTATTTATTGACAACATTCAAAAAAATATAAATTTTCTTTATTGTTCTCATTGCTTTTCCTTTCATTCTCTCATGTCGTTCCATCCATTCAAATTGCTCGTCTCTTCACACTTTGTTAAACATAGGCACTGGCACATAAATATACTGTTCAATGCTCATGCACATAAAAATGCCACAAAAACCATGATTAATTGAAAATGAGTCCGCTGCACATTGTTGCAGCCAAAAAAAAATAATATGACGAGTTTTGAAAAGGAATCGACTCTCAATATTTTTTTTATGATTACACATAAATAATTTATATTTTTTCTTGAGCAGATTTATGTCTCATTATGGTTTGAACAAACGAGTCGAGATTACCATTTTTGGGATCAACATCATCTCGTCAACCTTATATACACATGCCATATCAATTACTGATCCAATTTTATATATAATCAAAAACTTTAATAATGCCGCGCACATCCATATTGATTGTCACACACGTTGTTGATGTTAAAAAAGGAACAACATACATGAAAAAATAAAAAAAAAATTGAAAAATTCATAAATATATGAACTATAAATTATATGTCTGTATTACATAAAAAAAAATATCAAGCACCCATTGTTCTTCGGCGAAACAACAAAGACCACAACGACACCTAATTTTTTATTTTTTTTTGTATTGCCTTATTGCCATTGTCTATATCATTATCTCAGTCGATACTCTTTTTTTTTGTATATTTATTTTATTTTTTGTGCCATCATTAGCATGTCTGGTTTGCAATGAAAATGATGAAAAAAAATTGCTAAGCTGTTTTGTGCGTCAATCCATGTGATTGAGGTTGATATAATATACACCTGGGGATGGGGAATTAACACTCTGAATATAATTGGAAATGTATTTTTCTCGTGGTGGATTTGCGATTTGTTCTAGGTTGTTTTTTGGGGATTTTTGGAGTATTTGTCATTGGATAGAGTGAGTTGAGATGTGAGATGATGGATTTTTTTATAAATTTTCAAGGTTTAAAGACAACTTAATAAAGAGAACCTAGTAAAGACAACCTGGTAGAAATAATGAGTAAAGACAATCTAGTAAATAAAACCTAGTAAAGACAACCTAGGAAAGAGAACCTAATAAAGACAACCTAGTAAAGAGAACCTAGTAAAGACAACCTAGTAAAGACAACCTAGTAAAGACAATCTAGTAAATACAACTTAGTAAAGACAACCTAGTAGAGACAACCTAGTAAAGAGAACCTAGTAAAGACAACCTAGTAAAGACAACCTAGTAAAGACAACCTAGTACAGAATCAACTCTTATTTAAGTCCAATTCATGCGTAAACTCCAAAAATCATCACCTGACTCAAAATAAAACAATTTTTCATAAATAAAATTTTCAATTTAAGATTTTTTTCACCCAATTTAAAAAGACTTTCCATCACAATTCCTCAAACAACTTTGTCATCGCAATTGCATCATAAAATAAAAAAAAAAACAGAAAGTTGTCATTTATTTACGCATTAATATGAAAGAAAATGAAAATTATTGTCACTTAAATAATGACGGTTGTTAACGCATTAAATTAATCCAAAAATAATATGTATTTACTTCCCTATTAACACTCGAATGTTTTCACCACATACACACAAGTTTTCTTATTACTCGTGAGCTGTGCTGTGCATGATGTGATGAGAGATATTTTTTTTCGAAAATTTTATTATTTTTTTGGGAAATTTGTAATTCAGGAGCTGGAGAGCATTTTGTCAATAATAGCTTGATTACAAATTTAAGTAGGTTGTTAAGATGAACCATCATGTTATATAGCTAGTAGGAGAACCTGGTAAAGGACTAGGAATGGACTAGGTTTTGCAAATTATCACTCATATTCAAACCCGATCTCCAGTGTCCTCCGCCAGCTCCTCTTAAAAATTGAACATAATATATAAACGAACCCTATTCAAAGTAGCTAATGCGACTATAAAAAAATCAAAGCTGTCTCTTACAGAACTTAAGAGTTCGAATCCTATTTGACTACACTTTCATTCAAATCTGCGCCTCAGCCACAATCCAAGATCAATATACCCCAAAAAAATAATTTTTCTCACTTACCGAAATGTCTCAATTATTAACAAAAATGTTATATTGTCATTGACGAGTGAATGGAAATGTGAAGAAAAAAATGAAATAAAATATTTACCAAATTGTTGAAATGTTTATGAGGTTGTAAAAAAATATTTCTTTTTCAGTTTTGGTATGTATGAAAAATTATTATGACTGGGGTGTATTTGAAAATTATGTGTCATTTTTAAAACATTTATAAATGCATTAAAAACCACACATACACATCCATGTGTGACCATGTGAGGATTTTAAAGTGATGAATTGCCTTCTTTTAACAAATTATTTTTAGCTGTTCATTAGTCAACTTAGCAGCGTTCATGTTTTGCCTATTTATCAAGATTTACTAATTTGATACCCAAATAATTTGAAATATTCACATCTAGTCGTTGTGTGATCTTCATACTTACGTAATATAATTTATAATGTTGAAATGTCAAGTGGAAAATTCAGAAATTTGAAGAAAATATTAGTAAAATAAAATTAAAGATTGTGGAATGGTTTCGATTATTGATTGGGGAATTAAATTGATGATAATTAAGTTATCTGCCATTTTGGAATGAATTAATATTTGTTTATCGGCTTCTTTAAAGGTGGATATTAGAATTTGTGAGATAAGGAACTGATTGAAATTATTGAAAATGATCTAAAGTGATTAAAACTGATCGAAACTGATCGAAAGTGATCAAAAGTGATCGAAATCATTCGAAACTGATCGAAACTGACCAAAGCTGATCGAAACTGATCGAAAATGATTGAAATTGATCGAAACTAATCGAAAATTATTGAAACTGATGAAATTGATCAAAACTGATCGAAAATGATTGAAACTGATCAAAACCCTTAATTAGAACAGATTCCTCATAGTTTATGTAAATAAGAATTAAATATGCATGTGATTAAGGTTGAATCCTTACCCGCCCCTTTCAATGTGACTCAATCTTCGGTTTTAAGATTAAAATTTGCTTCAAAAATTTCAAAATTTTCTAAAGCAGAGTTGTTCAAACTGTGTGTGCCGCATAATTTTTTTGGAAATTATAGTTTTTTCGTACTGCTCTAAAGAGACGTCCAACATTTAAGGGTGGAGGAGATCTAGAGTATTTTAACTGTTTAAACAATACAGCATATAAACAGACCATTAGGAGCTCTACTAAACCCAAACTAAACCTTTTACTTCAGCTTAACCTTCATTATCAAGTGCATGTTAGTCTCTATCTACTCCAACTACACATAATCTTCAAAATAATTATTATACCTTCTATATTGCATACCTAATGACTCCCATTTAATGACTTAAACCATGCTTATCCTCTAAATTAATTAATTTTTTGGACATCCTCAATTTCAAAGGTTAAATTCTAATCTCCAGCCTAACCTTACCAAAATATCATAAATTTTTGCGAGTAGGAAAATAAAGTTAAAAATTATACAAAAACCATATAATTTCATCAAAAAAAGTTTTATGACCTCAGGAAGTGATAATACTAAGTCGCATAAAATTTATTAAGATTCATCTAAAAGTCGTAAAAATCCATGAAGCATCTTTAGAGACAAATGACTTAAAAAATTTTTATAGTTCAGTCATCCGAAATATTACAGCTGCTAATGTATAATTTGCATAATCTATTAACATTTCAATTTCCAATTTTGAATTTTATTACTAGAATATTAATAAAAATAAGAATCTTAATTGTGCGAAACTGTAAATTTCATCGGTGCTGCACGTTAATTGATTACTTAAAAAATGCTACCTCCAAATTATTCCGTATAAAAATATATAAATTTTTATATAAAGAGAAATCATTCGATTAAATTACAATAAAATCTAATTAAATATTTCCAACTTAATCACAGAATTTTCTTCACTCACCACGTTTAGCAGTTATATTTTTTTTTGGATGGATTAATTGATTGATAGAAATCTATTTTTGGGAAGTGCGATTTGAAGTCTATTGTAGTGTATCAGCACAGTTTGATGGAAATTTATTTAAAATAAAAGAATTGGAATTCTTGTAGGTTATAATATTAGCGTGAATGAAAGAAGAATGAAGCAAAAACGAGATAGTTTGAAATTATTTTTGAAAATTTAAATTTTTAATTTTCGAAAACTTTTACTTTCTCAGATTTCAAATTATTTAAAAAAATCAAAAACTTTTGAAATTTAAAAAAATTACAATTTTGAATGTTTAAGAAATCAAAAAATTTGAATTTTAAAGAAATCAAAAATATTGAATTTTAAAAATATTAAAAAAATTGAATTTTAAAAATATCAAAAATTTTGAATTTTAAAAAACTAGAATATGAAGTTGATCAAAAATTTCAATATTTAAGAATTAAAACTTAAGTAGTTTTTAAAAATTGAACCTAAAGTTAAAAAAAATTAAAAATTTTAGATTTCGAAAAGAAAAACATTTCAAAATTTAAAAACTCAAAAGCTTGAAATTTAAAAGAAAATCAAAAGTTTCAAATTTTAAAAAATTAAAATTTTCAAAACTATTTTTTTTTACATTTTTGCATGTTAAAAATCTCAAATTAAATTATTTTATAATTTTTCAAAAAAAAAAGTTTATTAAAAACAAAAAATTATTAAACTTTGAAAAGTATGAAAATAATTCTTTCTAAAATTTTTTACATTCAAAAAATTAAAACCAAAGAATCAAAAATTCCATCCGATTCCATAAATCCACGCTCATAGCCAAAATTTCATCATCTTTTCCATTTTACAACCCAGCAATCACGAATGAAAGAAATTAAGAATCACACATTCGTAGAAATGAATTAAAATTTTATAATTTCAGAGAGAATTACCAAAAATACCAGAACCGTACATCTTCAACCCGAAAAAAAAATAATTTTATCCAACAATCTTCAATTTTCTGTTGAGTAGAAAAAAGAAAATAAAAGAAGCGGAATTAATTAATTTAAGAAATGAGAAACGACATTACACTAAAATGTGCTATAATGCTCTTAAATTATTATTATTCATAGCCATCATCAGCAACAACGAACTTCTTTTCATTCACATATGTGTGAATATATAATATTATTACATTAGAATAGAGTAACTGACTAGCGTTGAGTGAGTGAGAAAGCAAATTGCAGAAAAGAAAGAAGAAATCATAAAATATCCGACATTATGCTGACTAGGTGTCAGGGAGCTTTCACGGCATTCCCTCATTGGCTATTCATGGTGTTTGCTTATAAAAATTTACATTCACGAGGCGGGTTCTGTATGTATTTGTTACCCCTTTTTATTCATTCCTACTTACTTAACTGTTTGTGTAGCTTTTGTGTAGCTCGCTATCATACAAACGTACAGAAAAAAAATTATTTTTTTTCCATTCGACGCTTTCAGTCTTCACGTTTGTGTTTTATCGCGCGGTTCGTCGCTGCCACCGTAAAAATAAGTATTTTATTCTTATAAAGCTTGACATGGGAGACAGTATGACAAAAGTTTTAGTATGTGAGGCACCAAAATAGAATCAATTCCAATTAACAGCAATCAAACTGTCAACGATAAATATTTTTATTTTTTTTTTCATGTGTATAAAGCCATTTTATTAGTGAATGCTATTGAGTGACATAGAAATGAATTAATAAATCTCAATAATGAATTAAGAAGTTTTTTACATTAATTAATGTGACATGAAGGAATAATTAATATATGTGGAAATTTTACTAATGGAAATAAATTAAAATTTAATGTGCAAGTTTTTCAAGTTGAATTAGCGACGGCAAAAAATAATTTTTTGTGTTGCAAAAAAAAAAGAGAAAAAATTATGAAAATTTTATGAGACCTGAAAAAAAAGTACAAAATAGAATGTTGGCAATTATGTGTAATAGAAGTCGTGATCCGAGTCCGGTTGGTTCAGAAATATCAGTAGGTTCACCATCACCACCGCCCTCTGAATGTGAAAGACGAAATAATCATAAAATTGGATCGGATGAATATTTTCAGCCATTAAAACGTCTCAAAATGGTCAATGATCATACAAATGATGTAGATAATAATAATCATTGCAGTAGTGATGCTAGTCGAACTTCCTCTTTAAAGTCACCATCATCAACAGTGACACCGCAAGTGACACAAACAACGACGACGGGTGTTGAAGGTGTAAAGAGTTTTAGCATAGCTGATATTTTAGGACGTGATAGTACCAATAAAAATAATTCCACAACTGCACAGGCACAAGCAGCTGTTACAGCAGCTACAATTGTCAATGGTCTCAATCATTTGCATCATCATCAGCAAGTGGCAAGAATTGTGAGGCCATGGGATCATTTACAACATCCAATTTCAATTCGTCCACTTCTTCCGCCTGCCTTACTTCATTATGAGCAACGACTAGCTATGGAATATCATCAGCAACTTCAAGAACATTTTCATGCACAAGCACAGCTGTTAAGGCACATGAATATTGATATAATTCCATCAGAAAGTGGAAGTGATCGATCAAGTTCTGTTGCAAGTGGAGATTGCTGTTCACCAGACATTGGACGATCATCAGACAATTCAGGACGTTCACATCCAAGTCAACAACATCCTAGTTCCAATAATAATAACAATAATGTCAATAGAAATGGAAATAAATCGCCAAATGGAAGTGCACCACTCGATGCGCTGTTTCAGCTATCAAATAAAAATTTCGATGAGGCAAATGAGGAAGGTAAGAACTTTATACTGTTAAGTTTCTACTTCATTTATTAGACATGCTCAATTATTTTCAAATAATAATAAAAATCGAATTGACTGCAAAAGTTTCTACAAAGTTGCAATACTTAAGCAAGTATAAAGCCTGCAATTATTTCATTAAATAATTTCCTTAACTTAAGTCTTAAATCAACTAATTTGTAATAATTACAAAGCGGTTCAACTTTAGTTGCAATTAAATAATATAAAAGTCAGTAACTTAATAGTTATTTGTTCGGCTCTAATACTTCTTTCATAGCGCATTTGAAAGGGATTTTCAAAAGTCTTAATGACGGCACTAGCTTAATGCAGCTGTATGCCTACATAAAATGCAAATCATTCAGATGAAACTAATGTTCATGCATAAAGTGATGATGTTACTTATTTATGTAGATGTTGAGATGAGAATTTATTATGTATGTTGTTGGAAGAAAGTTAAGTTGAGTTTATTGAGTGAAAATTAGAAAAATTGTTGTTGTTGTGAAAGGGACAAATTTATTTATGTTGATGCTGTGCTTGAAAATGTCAAATACACTAATGGATTTAAGTGTGTTGTTAATTAAACTGTTGGAGGTTGCCGAGTAAAGCAGCATCAACTTTATTGCCGAGAAACAGTTTAAATTCGCATTCTGCCAAGCTTCTTAGAAGCCTCTGATAGCTCAGTGGTAAGAGTAAGCGACTAGAAATCGTAAGGACGCAGGTTCGATTCTTACTCGAGACAAGTTGTTGGAAAGTGCACTTTTTTTCTGTGAAATGTTTAAAATTAAGTTTCTTAAGTTTGAAAATCAAATTCTTTCCTAAATACTGAAGATTATAGGATGTTTTATGATTAAAATAGAAGCTAGTGACCTAGTGACTCTTAAATCAAGCCAAAGTTGCATTTAGCATAACCCAGATTTGACGAAAAAAAACCCAGAACCAAGCCTTAACAGTGTAATTTTGAGTCAATTTCCAAAAATAACTTATAGCTTTAGCATAACTTATGACGTCGATCAAAAAAACTGATTTTAAGAAATCCCCCCCCCCCCCCTTTCACAAAAATTCCATAGAAAAAAATTTCCATTGTTTGAACTGTCACAAAATCCTAGACCCACCTTCCCCCTAAATGTCAAGGGGGGGGGGACAAGAAGAATAGAGCATTGAAAATTCCAGGAAATCCAATTTTATTTTTTCGAACGTGAAAAGTGAACGGCCCCTAAGTGATGCTAGTCAGAGTCTGAATCCATGAGTTGGAACAGAGGTGGAATACAACGTAGGTGGACCCAAAAACACTTGGAGCTCTCGAGAAGAAAGGCCTCCCAATTCTGACGCTAGTAAAGGTCTTTGATAGAGCCTACAAAATCTCAAAAACTAAGCATTGAAATGTAAAATTAAAAACTAAAAGCAAAGAGCTGTCAAAATAATTTAAAAACAATTAATCAAGCTTAACAATCTTATTTCGTAAATGATGTTTAATAAAATAAATTTTGGGGCATGTTTTCATGATTTTACTTTAAAAAACTTCCACTCAATAAAAATGCAGACCGTAAATTCCATGTAAACAACAATTTTACACAAAACAAAAAATCAAAAGTGTGCATTTCCTTATATCAAAAACATACATGCTTTCTACAGTCATTAATAGAAACGGCAGAAGTAACTTGAAGTTTATTTAACTTTCCCTTAAACAATTTAAATTCAATTTCTATAATCCATTTTCTGTTAATTAAAAAAAACATTGAATGTGACTTAAAGGTGAGCATTTAAAAAAAGCAGAAAAAATATTTTTTTACCCTAGAATTAATCATCACTATACAGCAAGTCTACAGTAATTAATTAAAAAAAAATCTCCTTTTGTTTAACAAAAATGTTGAATGAGCAAGCAAATTTGCAAAATGATTGATGTATTGCTCGCATTCTACAGTCAGTTGGCGTTTAAAGGTGTGCGCAACTATGAGTGCTAATATTTTTTTCTATTATTTCTTTTTCCTTCTTTCCGTTCTGCTTAAAAATTATTCCGTCCAAGTTGAAGGAGACGTAAAGTGCATTCATGAAAAACAGAATCAAAATGTGTGTGAGTGTGCGAATTATGAATGTAGTGCCTTTTTTTTGCACCTTAGTAACAACAACAATAATCGCATCAGAGAAGGGAAAAAAACAATCAATGCGCGCGGTTTGAATAGCTTTGAAATGTGCCGGCATAACATGAAATGATTTAAAATTTAATTTTGCATAAATGTGCAAATTTTCAAAAAAAATATTCATTTTGGGTTAAGAGGGTGGAATGCAGAGAAATTTGAATTTATGAATTTTTTTATTGATAATGAGGTGATTTTAAATATTTGACATGTTGTTGTTAAATGATGTCATTCTAAATATGGTTGTAGACAGAGATAGAATAGCATTTGGTATTGGCGATTGGTAGAGACGAGCCAATGACAGAGTCTTTTTCAGACGCCAAGTAAGGGAGGCTATGGATCACTTTTGATCTGTGAAGCCAGCAATGTATGTATGTATTTATGTATGTATGGTTGTAGATAATCTAATGAATCTAAAAAAACACAAAATTTTAAATCCTTCTTTCACTCTATGGGTTGAGACCCCTCCCCCCCCCCAAAAAAAAATATGTGACGCTCCTGGCTGTCTTAAATAGCTTTTCTGCTAATTTTTGAAATTTTTGAACACTTTTGATCATTTTCAAACAGGGATTGATTTTGATCTGCCATCCCACTTAAGCTACACTTCTGATTCTGTCTTATAGCCTCAAATGCATTACTGTACCCCATTAGTACTGAAACGCTTAAGACTTCAGATTGCTGTCGTTTCAAAAAACCTGGATTTGACTACCGCCATCCCTCTTCCTTTACCCCACTTTCCACTCGTGGTTTGATTATTCTTGAAACAAATTAGTCAAGGTGTTCAATTCAAAAGCGGACGCCAGGCGCGTAGCCAAAGACCCTATGCTATCAGAACTTCATTCATTTTGTTAGAATTTTTATGAGAACATCCTAAAAATCCCCCACCCCCAAATTTTCCACATAAAATTTTTTTTGACCCCCCCCCCTTCCCGTCTTCAAATTCTTGGCTACGCTCATGGCAGACCTTCAACTTAAGGGTTCATAAAAAGCCTTTAGTAGTCATAAGCCTCATAAAATGCGGTAATTTTAAAACCTAACCTCACTTTAATTTAAAAAACTTTACCATCTTCGTGATCCAATCTTTACTATCTGCAATTAATTAACTTTCTTCATTAAAAACCCCAAAATAATTTAAAAAAAAAGATTCACGACTAAGTCATGAAATGCGCTAAAACTCAACAATTCTCAGCAATTATTTCTAACCGTTTCCACTTCAAACGAGAATATGAAACACATTTCTGTACAAGCATACATGCACATCAAGAAAAAAAAATGCATTCGTGTTGAACATTTTTATATTTTAAAAAACACTTTTAAAAATTTTCACATAACAGCACACAAACAACGATTCCAAATACAATGTAAAACATCTTTTTCTTCCTGCACGTCATAAACTAGCACTGATTTAAAATACGATTGAAGTGAGACATGCAAAATAGCTAATGTCGCGATGATAGGCTATACTAGACGTAATTGGCAGTGTGATGTTAAAGAAGAAAAAAATCGATAGAAAAAAGTTTTTATGCAACTTGACGGCTATCGATTTGTCAGAGGAATGAAGAAAAAAAAACAGGTGCTAATTAAGGTTGAGTGGATATTTTTGTGTGACTGCTTTCAAGTGACACTGTGTGGCGTAATATATTTTTTAACCATGTTTTTTAAATATAGTGGTGGTAAAGTTGTTTGTGGTGAGAAGGAAGAAGCAGCGACATAATAAGAGGTGTCATCAGGAAATGCCTGAGGCTGCTGATAGTCGAAATGATGCTAATTGACGCTATCAAATTCGTAACACATTGCATTGTCGCTATATTTAAATAATTTTTATTTCAATTTTTATATAAAGTTTGGGAGTTGATGGGAACAGCAAGGGAACAGTTTTGTGAAAATTGGAGGATTTGAGTGCAGTCTGTCAAGGTGGCTACTTTTGGATACAAAAGCTAGTAAAACACTGGATATAGGAGTTCATTTCTACAAACATCAAAAAAATAAATTTTCAAATTTTTTAAATTTTTTAAAATTTTTTTTACATATTTTTGAATTTTGAAATTTCAATTTTAATTTTCTTTTAAACTTTTTTTTATAAATCTTCCAAATTTTAAATTTTTAAAAATTTCACTTAGGGGTCCATCACTTATGACGTCCATCAAGAAACCTGATTTTAGGCCCCACTCCCCCACCTGTCACAAAAATTCCATAGAAAAAAATTTCCATTGTTTGAACTGTCACAAAATCTTAGACCCCCATCCCCCCCCCCTAAATGTCGGACGTCATAAGTGAACGGTCCCTTATTTTAACATATTTTTTCATATTTAACATTTTTGAACTTTTTTAAATTTTTGAACTTATTTTTGAATTTTTGAACCTATTTTATTTTTGTATATTTTTTTTACATTTTTTTGAACTTTTCAATTTTTTAAATTTTTTTTTCAATTTTTTATTATTTTTGAATTTTTTAATTTTTCAATTTATTTGAATTTTTAAATTTTTTGAATTTCTAAATTTTTATAAAATTGATTTTTAATTAATAAATGCGCCTTAAAACCATCAAACCTTTAAAAATCCATCCAATAACTTCCCTACCATCCTCATTACACTGTCCATTCCGTGAACTTTAATATTTTTGTTGGGGCCAACTACCACTCCTTTATTTATTGCCCTCTCGCACGTCCGGAGCTGATATCGCGGAATCGTTCAAAAAAACAACGAAGTAATAATAACGAAATATATAAAAAAAGATGTAATTTATTTAATGCTACTTCTAACAGAAGCTCTCCGCTCAATTATCATAATTTATGAATAAATTATATCTCTTTTATATATTTTTCGGCATGTATAAAATTTCGTGTGTGCATCGAGGTCG